ACTTCTAGGGTACCTCCTTTCATCATCCAGTCGTCATGAAACCTATGGCGACTTGGGCATCCACCATTTTTTTTTGGAACCTCCATATGTACCATCTGGTTATTTAACAGTTCGCTATGGAAAATGGCCCATAGGAATAGATGGTTTACCTATTAATAATGGTGATTTTCCATGGCTATGTTAAATAACCAGATGGTATGATTTATACCATGTGGGACACCCCAGTTCTGTTTGTTGGTTTATAAACCCCATGAATACTATACTTGTTTCCGCTTCATAAACCATAGTATAGTTATTGCAGTCCTGTTCACCGACTTAGGTGTCGTTTGGGGGGCCCTCCATTATCATTAGATTCCACTAATATCTCATGAAAATATCCCATAAATATCACCCATTAAACCACCATATTTGTGAGTTATAGGCTATAGACATATCACTTCCATTCAGGCCACAATCCTCCAACAACGACGCGCTTTAAACCACCCGTGCCTCCGACCAAAGCTCGATAAAGACTTTTCCGCAGAAATCTTGCCGCGCCTGGGGCGGTTCGAGGTCCCCATTGGCGGTGCCGTTGCCCTTCGGGGTTTCCATTTTGCCAAACGGCCAAAATCCGTTCATGTTGTTTAGGGTTTACCACATTCACTGGATATGATTGCATTTTGATATGCATCTTACATATTTGGGGAATTAATGAACTATTTGATTCTATAAATAAATAAATATATATATATACAGTATATATATATGTTTAATGTGGTAAACCCAATCATCAACCGACCATCATTTAGGGGACGATTTGTGATAATATTGCGGCATGGTTTATTTTTTTGATGTACCACATCAATGTGACTCCCCGATTCAATAGCTCCGTGGAAATTCTTCAGGCTGGGGTGCTACCGTTTAGCTTCTGGTGTATGAATCCTGGGCCTGTCAGAAACTGTCGTGGACACCAAAAAATTGCAAACAGGAACAACACAGAATCAAACCAAAACACTTGCCCTCTGGTAAACGTTTACATAACTATGGGAAATCACCATTTTATAGCTGGGTAAATCCACTATTTCGACTGGGCCATTTTCAATAGCTATTTTGACATAACCAGAGGGTAGGTTTGTCTGAAAATGGGCTACTCCTAAATCCAATGGTTTTCGGCATCATTTCTCTATATGCTCCATGGCCATTTGAACAGGGGATATACCACCAAAATTAAACACACCCAAATATCATATTAGATGTTTGGTGAGTTATATCCCACTTTTTTTCCCAGTACATCCTATAGATCTATGGATCCTATTGAAAATGGCCATAGAAATAGTGGATTTACCCATTGAACATGGTGATTTTCCATAGTTTTCTGTATGTTTACCAGAGGGTAAATCCCATTAAATCCCGTTAAACCACCATAAACCCTCATGAAAAATCACCATGTTCGCTATTCAATGGCTATAATTTTCGGGTAGATCCCGTGAACCCAACTACAGTATCCCAGATTAGCTCACCATGGTGCTGGTATATAAAAACCTACAAAACTGGGTGATTTTTGAGGTAAATGTAGGTAAATGTGAGGCCCCAGTTAGGAATCGCTAAGTGGGTGCCAATAAGCCCAATAACTGTTGGGTTGATTAGGGGCTTATATCGAACTAGTTAATGGGGATTAAAAACCAACGTTCACATCACTGTGGGGGCACCACCTTGTACAGTATACATTGCTAATCTTAGATACCCTGCAAAAAATGACAAATTCTTTGCTGGTGAAAGTAGATATCACCAGTAATACCAAAAGACTAAACGATTAAAGCACCCATGTAAGATTGACCTAGTATATATATATAATATGACGTAAGGTGTCCCACATTTTTTCTATAATCTGGTGTACTAGCCGCAGAACAAGGCAACCCTCTGGCTATTCAACATAGCTATGTAAAATGGCCCATTTATAGAAAATCAAAATCATGATTTACCTATTTGAAATTGTGATTTTCCAGTTGGGAATCCGTTCAATAACCATTCAATTTCCACTTCCAGAAAAATTTATTCCATTGATTTTTCTATTCCATGAAAATCCCATGCAATCACCATTAAATTTCATTAAATCAAATCACCATTAAATTTTCCATTAAAAATCCCATGAAATTCCCAAGGTCTCATGCTTACCCTTTGGTAAATTAACATAGACCCTGGCAGTCATCGGGGTTGGAAGACTAGTTTCCACTATAAATTGGTCATTTTCAGGGTCTATGTTCATTTACCATAGGGTAAATCACCATGAAATTCCCTTCAAAAAATCACCACGAAGTCCCTGGAATCGAATCCTCTGCTGGTTGGTCCAGATCAGCGGAGACGATGAGAGGCTGACGCGGTGTTCGGGCGCTTCGCACACGATGGTAGACTGTGACTTTTCTAAGGGAAACGATGGATAGACATCCATTTTTAATGGGAAAATCACAATTTTTAATGGGAAAATCCACTATTTCTATGGCCATTTTCAATTGCTATGTTAGTTCACCAGAGGGTAGACTCATGGCTATTTAATGGGGATATATACTCAACAATGGATTTTTTTGTAGGAAAACCATGGATACCCTCTGGCAAATTAACAGTGGATATTGATGGATATCAATGGATTGTAATTTAGAATGGATTAATCAATGGATTACCCTCTGGCAAACTAACAGTTTGCGAACTTGAAAATGGCCATAGAAAGTTAGTTGATTTACCCAGCTACAAAATGGTGATTTTCCAGTTCGTTACGTTAGTTTACCAGAGGGTATAGAAATTATTAGCTACATAACATCTATGGTATAATGGAATAGAATCTAATAATTTCTATAACTAATGCGATGTAATGATTCTGTCATAACATATATCTGTTAGAGTTAACTTTCATTTAGTTATGTAGCTGATTATCAGATATAAGCTGATTTATTTGGTTGTAGAAGCCACTACATATATCAGTTTAGTGAGTTTTATTTAGTGGCTTAGTGGGATTTAATGGGATTTAGCCTCTGGTAAATTAAGACTTTGACATTATCAGCAAACTATTATATAAACCATGGATAGACTACCGGTAATGGGAAATTAATGGGGTATATACTAAACAATGGATTTTTCTAGGAAAAACATGGATACCCTCTGGTAAATTAACAGTTTGACCCTGAAAATGACCAATCGCAATAGTGGTTTCACTAGTCTTTCAACCCCGATGACTGCCAGGGTTTATGTTAATTTACTGGAGGGTATTAGATTATCAGCAATACATATATTAGTTTATGATAAAAAGGAAAATTGGGATGACATATTTATATAGCTTTGATATAAATTAAACAATCAGCTTATTAGGATATTTAGACGTAATATCTGAATGATATAATGGATGTAAATCAGATGCTATAATCATCTATTTACAACTTTAGGTATAAACATAACTAACACCATATCATTTTTCTGTTGTAAGTTATGTCTAATGCCAGATATATTCGAAAAACCATTTAAATTAAGTGCTATCATTATTATCTCAAGATTAATAGACGGCGTTGTGGAGCTTTCCAGTAACCTCTGATATCCCATAGGTCCCATACCTCGAGAAACCTGGCAAATTTCAGCCACAAGAACTAGTGAAATCAATTGCTGCGTTGATTGTTGCGTTCACCCCAAAAAAAACAAACAACTGTTCGGTCGATGACTTGGGAGCATCGAACTAGGCCTTACTAGGATGATCCAAATTGGGGGAAACCCATAGTCATGGGGCTACCCCCATAGCTAGATGGCTTATTTTATGGAAAATCCATCTATAAATGGATGAGAACTGGGGGCAGCCCTATTTCAGGAAACCTCCAATTATGATTTACCTGTTCAAAAAAGTGATTTTCCAGTTCACAAAGCGTGAGAACTCAAAAGAAGGTATGATTCATGGGGTTTAGGCTTCCCCCAGTTTCTGACAAACCCACATTTTTTGGTATCTTTTGTTCTTGTATCCAATGCTTTGAATGATTTTTGATTCTTTTGGTATCTTTCATCCCATCCCATATGCTCCATGGTGCTGGAATATTTGCCAACATTTGCCCTAAAAATCAACCAGTTTTATATACCAGCACCATGGAGCATATGGGGTATCTTTCATCCCATGATGTGTTTTTTTTGGCTGGGTTTGCACCAAGCGGGCCGGCGGACACTGGGCCCCGCCAGCTTTTTCCGAAGCATCTCTGCGCACCGGTCACCATGACCGTGGTCTGCGATGGTCATCGCAGGCTCCGTGGTTCCTGGAAATCACCCATGGTTCGACCCGGAAAGCATGGCATCCTTGAGACGTGGCCAATGGGAACGGACAGTTTCTGGTTGGTGGTGCAATAACCATCTTGAAAAATATGAGTTCGTCAATGGGAAGGATGACATCCCATATATACTGGAAAAAAAACATGTTTGAAACCACCAACCAGGTTTGTTTACAAACTCAGGGAACGTTGAAGAACAACCATGGACTTTGCCAAGAACAGTGGACTTTGCGCACTGAACTTCTGAACTTTGGGCATTTTCGACAAAATGAAAGGGAAGCTTTAACAAACCTGGCCATGGCAGCATAGCATCAAGCGGAACAGGGCAGCCACATGTCTTGGAACGGCTGGAGTGAAATGTTGGATAATGAAATCCCTGGGATTTCCCATGCTTTGGATCTGACCTAAGCCCAGAGGGCACTGTACAAAACGCGCTGTCTCAATGATGAGCTCTCCCATGGGCTTTTCGTCGCTGTCAACGAGCAAATTTTCAAATTCAAGTCCCATCAAACGAATTTTCAACCCATGCGATGATTACCCCGCGAATTATCGCTATTGATGGGGAAATCGACCCTACTAATCTATGATTACCAGTCATTTTGATGACTGACCCTACTATTCGCTCATTAAAATTCCCCCATCAAAATGTCATCAGAGCCCATCATTTGGTGGGGCGACTCTGGTTGAACGCGTCAACAGAGATCCCCTGAGATCCAGCCTTAAAATTGCCTATTTTTTAACCGCCAAAAATTGCTTTGAAACCTCTTGGATCCAGCAAGAGATATCCTCAATCACCTGGCAGAGACACTTTTTAAAACATCAACGCCGGGATCACACCTGACTTGCTCCGAATTTGATGAAGGGGACAATTCACGTTGGATACTCCACATGGGGGGAAACCCATAGTCATGGGGGTATCCCAAAATGGTTGGTTTATTTCCATGGGAAAATCCCACCAGAACAACGGATGATTTAGGGGTACCACTTTTTCAGGAAACCTCCACTTGTTGGTGGTTGAATCGTAATACATAAGTGAGTTAGAACCCCAGTTATATACACAAGTGAGTTGGTACCCCACATAATCAGTACTGGAGAAGGTCCATGGTTTTCCTCCAAAGTTCCGAAAAAAAACAGCCCATCGATGTGCCAAATGGGTATCCCCAAGCTGCTTCAACCCTGCCATTCAGAAGGCCAGTTTTAGGCGCAAGGTGGTTCCCCAGTTCGGAATCGCGTTCAGTTGGTGCACATATAACTCCAATTTCACTATGGTTTATTGTAGATATGGTTTATAAAAACTGGGTTAATAACTGTACTTACTATAACTATACTATATGGTTTATAACTATACTTACTATATGAGCTACAGCCAAAATTTACGGCAATGGAAAGTAGTATTCGAGGCGTCTCTATTTTTTGGAAACTGAGCTGAGGCTTGGAAAACGATAATACACTCTTCAAAAACGATAACGTGTGCTTATGTTGATCTTGGTCATCAGTCATCCTGTGTCTTACGGCGCAAGTTATTCAATGTATTTCGTATGAGAGAAGCAAACGGCAAACCTTTTTTTTATCGATAGATGTGTGGTGATGGTTTGCGTTTGGCAGCCATTTTGGTTCTGACATCTGCTGATCTTCCATGTATCCAGTAGCAATGCATCAAGCTTTCCTCAAGACAACACTACGACTTTCCAAACAAAAGGGTTTCCCATAGATTTCTCCAGAATCATTGCTTTATTTGTGTATTTTTTCTGGATCCAACCAGGTGTTCCAAACGATAACCCAAACGATAACGAAACGATAACCAAAAAATCACAAAACCCCTATCGGCCAGACACTGGCCCATTTGCTCGCTGAAAGCCTGTTCTTCTTGGCGCGTGTTGCTCATCAAAGATGAGCAAGCAAGCGCAAGACATGGCAGGACTCAGATGTTTCCTCAATGAGTTGTTGCAACATGAGACAGAAGGGGGACAATTGATTGCAGAGGCACAAGAGGCTGTACCAGGGAAAGCACAGCCCGGCAAGAAGATGGAATGACCAGACGCAGCAGGCGATTACTGTGCCACAGCGAATGCAGAAGCACGAAGCACTATTGCCTGAAGGTGCTGATGCACGCTTTGGAAGTATCGATCTACAGAGTCTGATCGACCGCAAGAAAAAAACAATCGAGAAGAGAAAGCAAAGACTAGATTGAAAGAGAACTTTGCAAAATGCTAGTGAAAGTGGCAGCACTAGCGGCACCACGGACAGCAGCAGCGACACTTCGGACTCAAGCGACTGAAAAAAAAGATTGCGCTCCACGTGAAAGTGGGAGGAAGTATTTGATTCGTTGCTTTTCACCATCAGAATACCATGGAATATGCAAGGAATACGAACATGGTGGCCCAAAACCTGAAAAACGATAATACACTCTTCAAAAATTGATGACATTCAGCTAGATAATAAATATTGACCGTGGCCCATATGATTTATGGTGCAAATAACTCCAATTTCACTATCCCATATGCTCCATGTATGGTATATTTACCTACAACACTGGGTGATTTTTGGGCGAATGTTGGTAAATACTCAAGCACCATGGAGCATATGGGTATGGTTTATGGTAGATATATTGACATACCCTCTGGTAAACTAACATAGCTATGGAAAATCACCATTTTTAATGGGTAAATCCACTATAAATGGCAATTTTCAATAGCTATGTTTGTTTACCAGAGGGTACTTACTATGCTTTATAAACCAACGTTCACATGACCGGGGGGCACCACCCAAGGTGGGTATTGGTCTTGCAGCAAGGCCTGCCTCCAATTGGATGATTACCTTCTGGTTCAAGAGAACAGTTAGCCATGGAAAATCACCATTTTTAATAGGTAAACCATCTATAAATTGGCCATTTTCCATGGCTATGTTAAATAACCAGAGGGTAAACGTTATGTTTTGAATGATTAATCCCTTCCCCCTAACATTAAACAGCGGAAAACGTGGTAAAAAAGTAGGGGATGAAAACATATATGGCTGGGACCATTAACAATGGGGGGTTTTCAATATGAACGAGAGATGGGATTATTAGCACTATCCCCAAGCACATCTTATTATATCATTACTATCCATTTCTTATCCAACTATCTATAGCCATGTATAGCCATTCAAATATCATAGATAAAGTATATATCATATATATATCTACTTTGCCATATTTTATATCATTCATATATCACACATTAATATACTGTTATATAATGTACCATATATCATGTTATACTGAACATGGCCAGTCTGCAGTCACCTAAAAGACCTTCGCCCCTTCGGCCTGATCCTTCAACTTCGGTTCCGCCAGCAAGTTGTGAAAGCCACCGTCATAGCGCTTCAACTGAGAGGCACCTGCACCAGCCGGAGCGAAGTCGCGATTTCGGGGGATCTCCAGTTGTAAGTTGGTGAAGAAAAGCTCCATGGAAAACTCGAAAATTTCTGGCATTCCGATGGATTCCCCTAAGCCAAACGTTAGCCAAGTTGTAAAAACCAACTTAGCTATCTGTAAGGCTTTACCTATCATACTCCGATTTGGTTGGTAGTATGCAGTCCTTGTGTGACAACTTTAGTTTCATGGATGAAATCCTATCTTATTAGTTCTATTCATGTTGGTTTAGCATTTGGGGCAATACTCGCAAAATATAGGTCGTGTTCATCTTCATTATATTCCCAATATTGACCCGTGCCCATCTGGGTCTCAAACGGAGGTACCTCCAAATATGTTGATCATTTCTGTTCCTGCTAACATGCCAGCTATAAGTTGGTTTCAAACCTCATCTTCAAACTATGAGTATACATGATATCCACAGTAAATGCTAGTTATCAACTGTGTAAGCCAACTTACCTGTCATAAATCACATCATATCGCATCGAAATCCCTATTTCTCCCTTGGCCCAATTGTTTAGTTTGTCATGGCATGTGCTGAAAATGGTCAAATCCCAATTTTTCTGGCTTAAATGGACAAATCCCAATTTTGCATGGACTAAATCCCAAGTTTTGATATCTTCACTTGCCATTGGCCCATCGTTTGGCTACCGGGGGCCTGGTGCGGCGGCCAGCACCAGCTTTTGCCCTGCTTCCGTGACCACCTGGTCTCCAGTGCCCCACAGCAGCAACACCGGAACCTGCGACACGTGTATCGGATCGGGATGGAAAACAACATGGGACCCATACAAGGTGGTGCCCCAGTTAGTTAGCTAAGTTGGTGCACATAACTCCAATAACTATGGTTTATGGTAGATATAAACTATAGTTTTCATGGGTTTTATAAACCAACTTATAACTGAGGGGCGCCACATTGTATGTGTTTTAACAACAGTATATCTGGTTGGTGGTTGAGCCCTACACCTCTGAAATATGAAAGTCTGTTGGGATGATGACATTCCCAATATACGGAAAATAAAAAATGTTCCAAACCGCCAACCAGATATGGTTTATATACTATTTTATACTATTGAATAGTGTTGGTTTATACACTATGGAAAAAATAATGGGACCCGTAAGTGAAAACTAACACTATATGGTTTACTAAAGTTTAATCTATTGAATAAGAATTGATGTATGGGAAGAAAATGGGACCCGTATGTTTTACCAACAGTTATATGGTGTTTACTGTATTTTAATCATACTATTGAATATATAACTATATTGATGTATATATTGTTTCTTTTACTATTCATAGAGGTATATATGCTCACATATATGCATATATACATAAAGTTAATAAAGGTTATTATATTGATGTAGATTTGATATTGTATTTTGATCCGCATGTTTAATCTTTGTTTATGATGTTTTTGCACCACCTACTTATATATTTGACATACTTTGAGGGATTTTGGTGCAACATAACTCTGGTTTTGATCAACAAACTTGGAGATGCAATCAACAAATCTGTGGGCATTTAACCAAACATTCATGATAATCAGACCGCTTACCATGTTTAGGGTTGAATGGTTGTGATAAAAGGGGGTTGCGTCGCTGTAGATCAACTAGGGGTGGCCCTCCTTTTGAGACAACCGCCCCATTCAGATTACAAAGCAAATGACCCGTGTGAATTCACTTGGACGTGCGGGCCCTGCGAATCGGAACCGTGATTTATAATCCATATCTAACCCAATTAAAATGCAAAATAATCTAATGGGGATATTCCATTCATGCAAGTGTTTTTTTTCACCCATTCGTTATCATTCGTTGGTGAAAATCACTATCGACATTGCCTAAAGTCCTGCTGATTTTTTCGCAACCAATTTTGACATGGCTGCTGTTCGAGTCAGTATCTCATCAGTTTTGGTTGGATCCATATGGAGGTTTCCATAAATGGGGAATCCCCAAAATGGATGGTTTATACTGGAAAATCCTATTAAAATGGATGATTTAGGGATACCCCAATTTTAGGACATCTCCATTTCATCTGTTTTATCCTTTTTCTTCGTTTACCTGCCATGTTTGTGGTTAATGTATGTTAATGTCCCACGCACAACACCACATCCCAGGAACTGTTCGCCACACAAACCAAGAAATCATCTGGTTGATGTCAATCCCCAAACAATAATAATGGTTCACCAACACCATTCATCTGGTTAAATGGTTCAACATACCATGTGAATTTCCCACACAACACCACACAAACCATTCAATCCCCATCAAACATGGCACTGGGAAATCCACCGTTTAGATCGATGATTTTCCCAGCGAGAAAAACCTCTAGATCCGTCACGTTTGGGGATTTTCCAGCCAGTCACTTGGCTGATTTCCCGAGGCTCATTCCAAAAATCACTTGGCTGAAAATTATACACCCATATACCAGTAAAACCTATGACATCCCCAAATATGAATTGCTTATAATTCCGAGAATCAGCCCATCAGCCCAACACTGGTATTGGTGGTTTCAATCCCTCTGAAAAATATGAAAGTCAGTTGGGGTTATTATTCCAAATATATGGAACGTCATAAATTTCATGTTCCAAACGTTCCAAACCACCAACCAGAAAAAAATGGTTACCATACCCAACCCTCGTTTCCCCCTCGCCCCCCCCAAAAAAAAATGGACCTTGAGCCTCTTTAGGTGCTCAGCTAAGGCATCTTGCAAGCGCAACATCTCTGTCAAATAGCCAGGAGTGATCCTGCAGGAGGTGGGATATTCCATGGGTACAGCAATAGGGTAGGTTTATGGGCAAATGACAAGAATAGAATGGTGATTTTCTGGTGACTTAATAGTAGGCAAATGATCATAGATGGGTATACGAAGCTGATCGCTCCATTTTCTTCCAAAAGGATGGTATTGAAGTTTCCTGAGTCACGGGGGTATCCCCAAATCATCCAGTCGTCATGGATGCCCATGACTTAGTATTGGACCCCTTGGTGACTTGGGGATCTCCCATTTTGAGAAACCACCGTGCCAATGGGATATAGGACCAACGAGATCTATAGATAACGCTGGTTAAGTATGGAGTAACCCCCTGGGTAAACCGCTCCAAAAGATGGGTAAACTGCTCCCTTCGGAAAATGGTCTACATCATGTGGTTTTTTTCACATCTACGTTCGTTTACAGGAGGCTATATGACTTTGGTACCTGAACAGGAAAAAACATGCCAAGATTGACGGTTTATCATCGGGTTCCCCTATTAAATGGCCATCAATAGGAGGTCTATGAGATTGAATGGGATTCAAAGAACCATGAATCATGGCAATATGATCGAAATACAACGGGCATAGTCGTCATAGACCCAACTGAACTTGATCATTCACAATGGGAATACAGGGGGTATAAAATCAATCATGTGGGATATGTGATGATATAATGGAATATAATTTACAATTATTATTATTACTATTATTATTATCATTATTATAATATATATTACATATTTAAACAACATGTTTTACATTGAGTACATGCCATGCTTGTGGCTATTCAGCCATGAAATTCTACATTAGTATGACCATCCCCCAATGGACCCAATGGATCTATGATCCATCTTTTGACAATGGCAGAAAAAGGGTCTTCAAGGTGGTTTAACCAGTTTTAACAAATCAACACCCGACAAAACATGTAAATATAAATATATATATATATAAATAAATATATATATATGAATTCAAGCAATGAACATGAAGATAATGAAGAGTAACACGCAGGGAGGGATGTTACAACCAACAGGTCTTGGACAAAGTGAGTTGAGGCAGGGAAACACCTTCTTGGAGAAAAAACCCTGCAGCAGGCTACAAAGAGCAGAGAAACAAAACAACAGGGTTACCCTCTGGTTATGTCAAAATAGCTATTGAAAATTGCCATTTATAGTTGATTTTCCCATTAAACATGGTGATTTTCCATAGTTTTCTGCATGTTTACCAGAGGGTAACAAGCTAATTGAACCAGGTACCACAGCCCAAAAACCGTCACATCTCTGCCAGGCCACGCCTGCCACGGCTCACTAGTGGATCGTCTTCCCAAGCCCGTAACGCAGCGGCATCACTGACGATGAGTTTCGGATCAAAGGCGCGTTTCCTGGGCGAAAAATGAGGAGTGTACCGTACAGGATGGGGCCGTTCGTACAGGCGTTCAGTTGCCCTTTTTCTAAGTGCTTTATGGTAGATATATCTATAGTTCATGGGCTTTACAAAGCACCAAACATAACTGGGGAAAACCATCATGTAGGATTTCACCGTGAGACAATGAAATGATTTAAGCAATGTAAGCGTTGGATCATTCCCGAGAGCGTCTGAGCGCAGGGTTCTTCCAATAGTGGGGGTCTGTATCTCATCCTCTCATCTTCACATCTTCTCTCACACCTTCTCATCTTCACATCTTCTCTCACACCTTCTCATCTTCACACCTTCTCATCTTCACACCTTCTCTCACACCTTCTCATCTTCACACCTTCTCATCTTCACATCTTCTCTCACACCTTCTCATCTTCACATCTGCTCATCTTCACATCTTCACATCTTCTCGCACCTTCTCATCTTCACATCTTCTCTCACACCTTCTCATCTTCACATCTGCTCATCTTCACATCTTCTCATCTTCACACCTTCTCATCTTCACATCTGCTCCTCTTCACATCTGCTCCTCTTCACACCTTCTCATCTTCACACCTTCTCATCTTCACACCTTCTCTCACACCTTCTCATCTTCACATCTTCTCTCTCTCTCACTCTCTCTCACTCTCTCTCACTCTCTCTCACTCTCTCTCACTCTCTCTCACTCTCTCTCCTCTTTCCTCTCTCCTTTCTCTCTCTCTCTCTCTCCTTTCTCTCTCTCCTTTCTCTCTCCCTTTTCTCTCTCTCGCCTTCTTTATCTTTCTCTCTTTAGGCCGAGGGTGGTGCCGGCGGGGAGTCACGAAACGTCAACCCTTTCGCACGAAATGAGGGTCGATCGGCAAAAACTGAGGTAAAATTGCGATTTTACTTGTGCCGGAGCAACCCTTTCGCACGAAATGAGGGTCGATCGGCAAAAACTGAGGTAAAATTGCGATTTTACTTGTGCTAAAGCAACCCTTTCGCACGAAATGAGGGTCGATCGGCAAAAACTGAGGTAAAATTGCGATTTGACTTGTGCCGGAGCAACCCTTTCGCACGAAATGAGGGTCGATCGGCAAAAACTGCGGTAAAATTGCGATTTGACTTGTGCTGGAGCAACCCTGTCGCACGAAATGAGGGTCGATCGGCAAAAAACTGAGGTAAAATTGCGATTTGACTTGTCCCGGAGCAACCCTTTCGCACGAAATGAGGGTCGATCGGCAAAAACTGCGGTAAAATTGCGATTTTATCTGTGCCGGAGCAACCCTGTCGCACGAAATGAGGGTCGATCGGTAGAAACTGAGGTAAAATTGCGATTTGTCGTGTGCCGGAGCAACCCTTTCGCACGAAATGATGGTCGATCGGCAAAAACTGAGGTAAAATTGCGATTTTTCGTGTGCTGGAGTAACTTTTTTGCACGCAAAGAGGTTTATGTGTACGAGTGTTTCTGTGTAAAGATGTTTGTGTGTAAAAGTGTTTCTGTGTAAAAGTGCCTGTGTGTAAAAGCGTCTATGTGTAAAAGCTTCTGTGTGTACAAGCGTTTGTGTGTAAAAGCAGCTCCGGTGTGTAAAAGGGTCTGTGTGTAAAAGTGTCTGTGTGTAAAGGCTTCTGTGTGTAAAAGTGTCTGTGTAGAAGCGTCTGTGTGTAAAAGCTTCTGTATGTAAAAGCTTCTGTGTGTAAAAGCTTCTGTATGTAAAAGCTTTGCGTGTAAAAGAGTCTGTCTGTAAAAGCTTCTGTGTGTAAAAGCTTTTGTGTGTAAAAGCGTCTGTGTGTAAAAGTGTTTGCGATGCAAACTATTGTCTTGCACTTCTCACTATTTTGTCTTGATACTCCTTTTCTCGACTGCCTATAACACAGCTTTCATATATCGTTTCTAATATTGCGTCTCCATACTAACAGGAGAAGACCCTGCTCCCCCCTGAACTGTCCGAGCAAACATGAGTGTAAGCATTTCCAGAGCTTCTTTTGGTGGCTGTGGTGCTTGTCTTTGGAGATTTTGGAGGTTGTGTGTAAAAGCAGCTCCGGTGTGTAAAAGGGTCTGTGTGTAAAAGTGTCTGTGTGTAAAGGCTTCTGTGTGTAAAAGTGTCTGTGTAGAAGCGTCTGTGTGTAAAAGCTTCTGTATGTAAAAGCTTCTGTGTGTAAAAGCTTCTGTATGTAAAAGCTTTGCGTGTAAAAGCGTCTGTGTAAAAGCTTCTGTGTGTAAAAGCTTTTGTGTGTAAAAGCGTCTGTGTGTATAAGTGTTTGCGATGCAAACTATTGCGTCTATGTGTACAAGCTTCTGTGTGTACAAGCGTTTGTGTGTAAAAGCAGCTCCTGTGTGTAAAAGGGTCTGTGTGTAAAAGTGTCTGTGTGTAAAGGCTTCTGTGTGTAAAAGTGTCTGTGTAGAAGCGTCTGTGTGTAAAAGCTTCTGTATGTAAAAGCTTCTGTGTGTAAAAGCTTCTGTCTGTAAAAGCTTCTGTGTGTAAAAGCTTCTGTGTGTAAAAGCTTTGTGTGTAAAAGCGTCTGTGTAAAAGCGTCTGTGTGTAAAAGTGTTTGCGATGCAAACTATTGTCTTGCACTTCTCACTATTTTGTCTTGATACTTTTCTTCTCGACTGCCTATAACACAGCTTTCATATACCGTTTCTAATATTGCGTCTCCATACTAACAAGAGAAGACCCTGCTCCTCTACGCTCTCGGGCCATCCGTCGTCTAGTTTTTTGAGGAAAAAAACAGCATGACCCCTTTTTTGACCCCCTTTTTTTGCCAATTCTACCTGACAGCTTTGAAAACTCGATGGGGAAGCAATTGGGATATGAGTGGAGCATCTCCTACCACCAAGGCCAGGCGGGCCAGGCGGGCCAGGCGTCAATGGCATCTTCGGCGCCAGATACGCCAAAGCTTTGACGAAGGCCAGAACCAAGGCGGAGGGTTTCACCGCAGCGTCCACCTCCAAAAGGGTGACCTATTTTGGGGAGACTTTGCCTGGTATTTTGGGCGAAAATATGTTAAGTTTGTTTTTTCTTTTATGTTAACATGTGTATATAAATATATACTATCTGAAACCATTGGGATATGTACATTACATAGATATCTATATATATATATATAAATATTTAAAGCCTTTGGAACTTTGGGATATGCATACATACAGTCTATATTCATATTTGGTTGGATATGTTTGGATATGAATTGTCACCAAATGGGCCCGTCTATCCGTGTATCCCAAATTGGGATGCACGGAAAAGAGGTCATTTTCCCATTGAAATGACCAGCAAAATGCTTCATGGTATCAATCCAATATTCAGCAACGGATGGCGTGTTTTTTTTGCTTTGAAACCATCACAAAAAGGCGATGGTTACTGTTCATTTTCCCAATGAAATAGTATGTTTTGCCATATATGAAAGGTGTATATAATCGACTTTCAGACCAAGCCGTATACACATGCAAAGGTGTACTAGATTAATGCATGTTTCCTAAGTCATGAGGGTACCCCCCAAATCATCCATGTTTCTTTGGGATTTTTTTCCATGACATAAACCATCCAGCGATCAAAGGGTGCCCCCTATGGCTTCGGACACTTCCATATCCCCAAAACAGAACATCATTATTGGCCCATAACATGACGTTACCCAGGGAATATCCCGATGATATATCACCATTCTTGTTGGCTTTATACTTTGGTGGTTATATATGTTTATAACAATCTTTTGTGGTGATATATTCCACTCTATGTCATCATTTATATGGTTATTACCTATATGGTGGTTATATATATAAATATATTCATATGCTTATTACCTATATAGATATTACATATCCCACTATATATATATATCCCACTATATGCCACTATATATCACCAGTTAAATATAGATCTAATGTGTTAATATGGATTGGTTATTTTATATCACCTTTAACATTGTTACTATCTATGTGGTGGTTATATAAATATATTCATATGCTGATTATCTATATGGATATTACATATCCCACTATATATATATATATAATTAGGGGGGCGGTGACCATATATATATACTATATATGACACTATATATCACCATTTAAACATAAATCTAATGTGTTCACGTGGAATTGTTATTATATATAGCTGTCATTGTATATGACCATTTAAATCGTATTATCTATCTGGGCAAATTATAATAATTCACTAATCTGAATTAAGGCCATAAAGGGGGTGATTTCCTCTTATTAACCATGATTCCAGGCTTCGGTCGTTATAATTTACCCAGATCTATATCTCCATATGATATGTACCTCAGCTATACCCCAGTCATGGGATCTCCAACCATTGGTTTTTTCCTGCTCCAAGGTGTACTTTTTCCATCGTCCCCTGATAGGCCCCTGAGAGTCCGATGAGCCCTGTCCACTTGTCCTCAGCTGCGACTTGTCGCATGAAGAAATCCCAGGTGTTTTTTCAAGGGAAAACCATGAAGAAATGGTGATTTTAATGGTGACTTAATTGGATTTAAGCATTGAACATTGAGATTTTCCATCATGGTGACGATGGGATGAAATCCCTCTGGATCCAGTCGTACCTTCTTAAAGGAAGTGGGACTGGGGTATAATTTACTGTCATTTGGAGGGTGATTTGTATCTTCTCAGTGTTTGGATCGGGAATGGTCACTTAATTTTAACTGAGGTTTAAGCATTAAACATTGGGATTCAATGCTTTTTTTTGATTTGATGATGGTTCAATGGTGATTTACTGATGACTTAATAGTAGGTAAACGATAATTTACATAGGTATACCAAACTGATTCCTCAATTTTCTTCAAAAAGATAGCTGGTTGGTGGTTTCAACCCCTCTGAAAAATATGAGTTCGTCAGTTGGGATGATGACATTCCCAATATATGGAAAGTCATAAAATTCCATGGTTCCAAACCACAAACTAATCCATATATATATATATATATGGGAAACTAAAATTCATGTTCCAAACCACCAACCAGGGATAGATCTGCCAGGTTTCCAAAGTCATGGAGCTACCAAACTGACATCATCCAGTCGTCATGGGTGACCATTTTTTTTAGTCTTGAATCCCATGGTGACTTTGGGGATCCCTCATTTTGAGAAACCTCCGTATTTTGGGATTTAATATTTGCCATCTGGTTATTTGATGGGAAAACCATCGGAAAATGGTGATTTAATGAGGGTTTATGGTGGTTCAATGGGATTTTATAGGATTTACCATCTGGTTATTAACCGGTTGGTGGTTTCAATCCCTCTGAAAAATATGAAAGTCAGATTGGATCATCTGGATCATCATCCCAGCTATTGGGGAAAATCTGGTTATTTGTTACATAGCCATGGAAAATCACCATAGAAATAGATGGTCTACCTATTAAAAATTGTGATTTTCCATAGCAAACTGTTAAATAACCAGAGGGTAATGGCATTATTAAATTATCATCCAAAAATAAGATGACAAGGAGGATACAGCACTCGATGGCTTGAAAGGCTTGAAACATCGGCATTGTTCAGGTGAACGCTCCGATTTTCTGAAAAACATGGTTTGGTTTTTTGAAGCGTTTAAACGTATACCTAGATTTCATCTTACTGTACACAACAAACACTACAGGGTAGGAGCCCCGGTAAAAGTTGGTTTATAATCCGCATTCACTATAGATATAACCCCACCATAAACCCAACAGTATCCCAACAGTCTTTGGACTTAAAAACCAGCTTAGTTAACTATGGGGCACCACCTTGTATTGAAAATTCACTCTTCAACCTTAATGGATGTTCATTTCAATCCACTCAAAAACTGTTGGACATTCACTACTTGGAGGATCATCCCACTTTGTAGCTGGGTTAATAACTAGGGTTCTAACTCACTTAAATACATGTGTATAAGTATATATATATATGGATATATATATGGGATAAACGATTCAACCACCAACAAGTGGAGGTTTCCTGAAAAGGGGGTACCCCTAAATCATCCATTGTTCCTGCATGTTCCATCACAAACCAAGCAGCGATAAAGGGGATCCTCCATTTTGGAGAAACCTCCAAGTGATTCTGAAATTTAACAAGAGATATCAAGAGATATAACCCCCATACACCCAACAGTTGTTTGAGGCATGCGGCTGATACGGCGCCCTTGGAAGGGTTGCCAATTTTGAGATGTGCCATTTACGATCCCTTGGAAGGGTTGCAAATTTCAAAAATGAGGCTTGCGGAAATGGGGGTATAGGATTTGATTTTCTTGAGTTTTTAACATGTTGCACATGCTGTCGTATGATCATCCGGGGGTGTATTAACGTTCTTGACGAACACTTCCTTTACGTTACGGAAGATGCACACGTTGCGCATGCTGTCGTATGATCATCAGGGGGGGTTGGGGGTGGGGGGGTGTATTAACGTCCCTGACGAGCACTTCCTTTACGTTACGGAAGATGCAAACGTTGCACATGCTGTCAGTTGTGTCAAAGATTATCCCCACAAAAGGTTCAAGTTGGCCCAAGTCAACCACAAACAAAATATCTTTACTATGACTAAGACTTATCATTTTCGAGGTCGTTTGTGGGATAAATCCTATAGAACCATTGTTGCTGGTACTCAACAAATGGATGGAACATGGAAACACTTTAAAAAATGGCGACCTCCGTCGATGCTCCACAAAAAAGCAAAACGTGCACAAAAAAGGTACACTTGGGCCTACAGCTGGACATGGCGTCACATTGCTGCCTTGTTGCAGGCTGTGGCTTCTGCGTTGCCACAAGCGCTCTGGCACCGCTAGCGTCGAGAAGAGGAAAAAACTGGAAGAGTGAATGTCGCCCTGATATGATTCGGATGATTGAAAATCATAAATTTCTAATGTTTTTTTTTGACCCTTGAAGAGCAAAATCGAGCCACCGCGCAGGCGAAACGCAAATTTTCACTTTTGAGTCACACGCCTGCCAATCGAAATGAATGTCCATGTTGCAAACATTTTTTGACGACTCCTGCAAATACCAGCATTTTGTCTCTTAGCCTCAAAAATCAGAATTTCAAATTCGTCACCCTTACAAGGGCGCCGAGTCAACCGGTTGCCTTGTTTGACGGAAATCCACCAACAACAACCACGAACACGTGGGTTTGTCACCCCAAAATTTCATGGTTTACCATCATTGTCCCTATTGAAAGATGGTAATTTTTATGGAGATACACCTATTTTTACATCATGTGCCATCATTTACCTGTATATTCAATGGCCATTTCAGGAACCTAATTTGGAGGTACCTACCATATATAAGGCCTATGTTTCAGGCCTATGTAAGGGAATATCCCCACAACATATGGCCTTATATGGTACAGTACCTCCATTTTAGGATCCTGGATTTCCCATTGATATATCCCTATCATATTGTCATCTATTTAGATGTCATTTTACATCATATATATATACACACCTCATTTTCAGACAAACACAAGGAAATTTTGAGGGAAATGGTGCGACTTTCCACAGCGGTCCTGATGCTCCGCCGCCGCCCAGGCAGCGAAAAGGCCGCCGATGCTCTTGCCCAGCAGAAAGCGCTGCGTGACGTTCCCGCAGGGGGAGCCTGGGTGGCAAAAAAAAGGAGGAACCCATATAAAATTGGCACATCTATCTATATCTATCTACATCTATCTATATCTATCTAGCTATCTATCTACCTATCTAACTAGTCTAATCTAGATAATCCCTATTTTTATTCATCTGATTCGATGAAATAAACAATTCATTTTTCGATTCATCAACCCTACCAGGTTTGGGCCTCAGTTCTGCTTCCAGCTCTAGGCTGCCCCGTCCTGTACCAAAAACAAAAGTCTATGCCTTGCTACCCACATGCCTTGTGTGAGAATTTACCAAGCAAAAACCAAGGTAATGTCTAATCTATATCATATGGTTGGGAATGGTTGGGAAACTCTGATTGTAGCTCCAACTGGCTTCTAAATGGATTGGTTTAAGGGGAAATTTACAGGAACAACACCAGTATTGCATGGGAAAATCTATGGTTTCACCAATCCATTGAGCTTCTCATTCGCTAGAAGATTTTGAAGGGAATATGAATACCCCGAACCGCTCCTAAGCGCGCCCTCCATTTATCGGCTTCACCATAAATCGGTGAGAAAATAATCCATAGATAGGGATGTACTGGGATATAGTGGGATATAACTAACCAAAAATCTAATATGATATTTGGGTGTGTGAAGATGGGGGTATATCCCCTGTTCAAATGGCCATTTCAATAAGGGAAATGGTGAGAAAACCAGTGGATGGAACTGCGTAGCCTAGTTCGTTACTTGCAAAAACAACTATCATTCAATGAGGACTACTGCGGGATTTACCCAAAATAAACATCCACAAATTTGAAGTTTATGAAATTAGGGTACCCAGTTCCATCCACTGGTAAAATAGATGGTAGACCCCAAGGAATTTGGTAAACCCCTACAAAAAACGACATCCAACATGTGGTAAACCCCTAGAGCCCTGGGATGCTGTTGATCATAATCCCCATGGTTGGTGCATGGGATGCTGCAGATGGCATTAGGTGAATCCCACACGAATCATTCATATTCCATTGATATTCCGTTCATATCCCATTCAATCACATTTTTTATCCATATAATGTGGTTAAAACAATAATAAACCATCTATAGCACCCATAAACAAGGTGATTTTGGAGATGGTTTATCCATATGGGGGGTTTCCTAAGTCATAGGGCTGCCCCTAGTTATCATCCATAGATTAGCCCTGAAATCGACCATCCAGCTATTTGAGTAGCCCCATGGAAACCACCCCGTGTTTGATGGCTACCACCCACATTTCAATGCTGATAACTTGGGGGTGGTAAACATGACATTGTTTTGACATGTTTTAACCACATGAAATCAGGCAGTTCTTGCGCCTGCTTGATGGATCCGCTGGTAGTCGGAGACAATGTCCCCTGACCACGCAGCGGCAAACAATCTGGTCACAACGTTGTAGGAGGATGTGCCCAAACAAGTGATGTGAATGTTGGTTTAAAAACCAAATGAATACTGCAATACTATAGTTCTATCTGCCATGAACCATGGTTAGGCCACTTAGGAGGCAACTGAACGCGATCGAACGGGGACCCCATCCTGTAGCTGTAGATACCAAAACAAAAACCAATGACAAGTTTGTTGGAAACCAATGAACATTTCTGCGAATTGGAATTCCATGGTTTTGTTCAAGTTTGTAGAAACCAATGTTGTTTCTTGTGAAAACCACGAATTACCCTCTGGTAAACTAACATAACTATGGAAAATCACCATTTTCAGTGGGTAAATCAACTATAAATGGTCCATTTTCAATAGCTATGTAACAATTTACCAGAGGGTAAAAAACCAATGCTTCTGCGGTTTGTTCATGGTTTTCCAATTCCTGGTGCTTGGCACTTCGCAGCTCTGTTGGATCAGCTCAGGGTCCTGAGGACAGATGGGAGGTTGTCTTGAAACATACAGAAAACATAAGAAAATTGTGGCTTAGTGAGTTTTTATGATGGTTTAATGGCATTTAATGGGATTTACCTCTGGCAAACATACAGAAAACTATGGAAAATCACAATTTTATAGCTGGGTAAATCAACGAACTAAATGGTCATTTTCAATAGCAAACTGTTAGTTTACCAGAGGGTCTCCCATTTAGATACCATATTGTCTAGAAAATGGCCCATTGGAATGGTTACCGGCTCTCTCCAAATGAGAGATTGTGGGTATCCCCCAAAATAGTCCTTTTAAATTGGATTAGATTTTGAGGTACCTTATTTTCAGACAAACCCTAATATGGAGGTTTCCTAAAATGGGGGGTACCCCTAGTTATCATCCCAAATTCATCCATTTTAGTATGAAAACCTATGGTTTTGGGGATCCCCCATGTTAAAAAATCCCCATATCGATCTATCGAAGCAACTTGACGCGCCTAGGAAAGAGTCGATCTGGTCCACGTACAAGGGTTCACCATCACCTTTCTGACGACAGCCATCAAATGCTTTTGACCCACACATAAAATTCTGTACTTAATTCTGTATATATATATATGTATATATATATATGTATATATATATATATATACACACTATACACGTATATTTACACAAAACAATACGGATAATTCTATCACATCAGCATGAATATAGACAGCTGATATGTCATGATGTATGGGAATCTGAAATGCTGTCGATTCCCCCAGATTCAGCCAAGCCAAATTCATCCAGATTTCGCGACTGGAACCAATGTGAAGGCCTCAGCATAGCACTATGCAAATCATCAAACGAACATTAAAAATTGGTGTTCAACCCCTTCCAACGGAAACCCTCAATAATAAAGTGTTGCTGAGGATTTGTTAATCACCAGCAACCACTCAATGAGGGGTTATCATCCAGTTATGATTGTTGAATCCCCCTGTGGGGTCCTGAAATGTCTGAAACCGAGGCTAAGGACATAGACTCAGACCTTTTTAGTTCAGTGCCTCCAGTTTAGGAAACTGAAATCTCTGAAAACCAACTATCAGATTGGATGTACAAATCTACAAATGACAGAAAACAGTCTGTGTGCGGAGTGAAGGTCCAGTTATGTCCCATATTTTTAGTCACATTACATCCCAACTTAAAGGGAGAACCATAGTTATCCATGTACCCAATTAACTTATTTACTAATGGAATTTCACTATGGTTGTTATGGTTATAATATGGGATTAACTATGGTTAACTATGGTTATAATATGGGGATATTAATAGTAATTATGGTTATAACCATAGTTATGGGATTACTAATGGGGGTTTTCATAATTTAGTCTTGTATCCATAGTTATAGTTACCATAGTTATTATATGAGTTACTAATGGGGATTAATAACCATAGTTATTAATTATTAACTTATAATATGGGGATAAGTCATTAATAATTAATTAACCATAGTATTAAATTATAGCTGCACCTCCGGTCCAAGTGGCTGTAACCCCAGCCGCGCATGTCCGAGGCGAAAACCGCCACTCCTTTGGCGCTCAAATATGTCCTTTGTCTGGCGAATGTCTGACACGATCGGATAGATCCAGTGTACTTGGGAGTGCGGGCGCCACTTAGTAAATGGGTTGTATCCCCAGATATATATGGAATCGGAATATCCATGAATATCGCCTTTATATATATTACATATATAATATATAATATAATATATATATATTATAAAATATAAATAATGTACGATATATATTACATTATATAATAATAATATATATATATATATCTCATATTATATTATTATATCTGGGATTATATGGGTTATATGTAGCCGTGGGCCCCAGTCTTACCAGTCGTACAGCTTTTTTTCAGCGGAACCAGTAGGGAGCTTTTCGCAACGCCATTGGGACGATTTGTGCCATCGATTTGTGCCAAAGCGTCCCAAGCTCATCGTAGACGCCAGAATGATCCACGGTTCCATGGACGATCATCAAGGTTGCCTTGTAGCGGTAAACATACAGAAAACATCAGAAAACTATGGAAAATCACCATTTTTAATGGGAAAACTCACTATTTCTATGGCCATTTTCAATAGCTATGTTAATTTTACCAGAGGGTAGCATGGATGAACTCGCAACCACATCGATTTTTTCATGTGGACATTTTGAAAAGCCAAGATCAACACACCACATGAACATTTGGCAACCAAAATGCTGAGATGAGAACAACGTCTTTGATTTTTGAACAGCTGCGACCACAAGTCCCTGAAAAACGGCCTATCGGACCACAGGGATCGTCCCGAGAACCTTCGAGTCTCGTGTGTTCAACGGCTCGTAGTCGGGTCCTAAACCTATCCCAGATGCGAACCGTGTATGGTATATTTACCTACAAAACTGGGTGATTTTGGACAAGGGCAAATGAGATTTGAAGCATGGTGCTGGTATATAAAAACCTACAAAACTGACTGGGTGATTTTTAGGACAAGGGCAGTTTTCTTGGTTTTGATATTCCAGCATCATGGTTCGCAGATGGGCTATGGTTTTCTTGGGTCCGATTTTTTGCGTTTGTTGAGCAGAGCCCCACATCTGATGGATTCATCAATGAACCAAATTGGGGCTTGTTTTTTCACCAAATTCTTGTTGCTCAAAATTTTCTACTGTAATTTTCTTGAGAAATCAACAGCCAACCCCAGTTTTATTAGTGTATTCTATTCTGGTAATTCTAACCCATCCCAAACATATGGTTTTCGTCATCGGAATCGCAACCAATCATCCGTCATGAATGTATGGTTTAAAAACAATTATTTTGAACCCCCAAAGGGTATTGAATCTATTGTCTCATGAATTTCCGGGCTTTTCCCATAACTTTATGCAACAAAAAACATGTTTGTCCTTGAAGGAGCAAAATCTCGGGTAACCAGCCCAGCGACCCAGATCGCTTTGTCGGAAGCCGGCTTCCAGGACCTAGTAAAGAGCCACAGCCTGCAGAATCTCAGGTCTACACCCTGGTGGTGTACACCCTGATACCCTCTAGTTATTTAACAGTTCGCCATTGGAAATGGCCCATAGAAATAGATGGTTTACCATGGTTTACCTATTAAAAATGGTGGATCTTTCCATGGCGAACTGTCATAACCAGAGGGTAATTTTGGGTGGTTCCATCCCGTAGCTGATGCTTCAGGATGATTTCACTCTTCCGACACTTTTTTTTTGACATAGGGAAGATCCCCTTGTTTAGTTCAATGACTTATGGAAGAAGGGTCTTAACATGTCTTAACCATCAACGAACAGTGTTTCTTTTGAATGTTTTTGTCACTTGTTTGGTATAGAGATATCTTGCACCCATCCTGTAGGAAATACGATGAAGGTGGACCCTAAGGCTTCGCAAATTGTACATCAACAACCGTGGCAATGGAACATTAGATAATTTACCCTTATTAAAACCAATTCAAAACCTCTATTTATCGGTAAAATCACCCATTGTAAAGATGATTTTCCCATGACAATCTCTATTTATCAGGGATTTTCCATGATTTGCCATTGCCACATTTCAATACCGGAGATTATTCAGGAAGATAACCAAGTTACTTGCAGCAACCACAACATGCGGTCCTATCGTCGAAGGAGCGATTGAACTCGCCGTTGCTGCACTCCTTGCCACAGAGTGTGACACTTCTTGTGGGCCTATCCATCCATGAAATCTACTCAGAGTTTTTATCAAACATAGCAATGACAAATCCCCTTTGGAGATTTTGTTGTGGGAACATGATCTGTAAATGGGGGACATTTCCATTGCTATTACCCTCTGGATCCCTCTGGTAATTTGTTACATAGCTATTGAAAATGGCCATAGAAATAGTGAGTTTTCCCATTAAAAATGGTGATTTTCCATAGTTTTCTGTAAACGTTTACCAGAGGGTACCATGGACAACAATAGATGTAGAAAACGCCTGAAAACTCCCGAGGGGAACTCGGGATCTACATTCATGGCCTCAACTGCCAATCATCCTGATCTTACTGGTGCGTTTTACGCAGGGAGTTTTCGGGAATGATCCACAATAACTATCAATAATCATCCCAGCAACCCCCATTCCCTACGTTTAGCACCAGTAAGTGATTCATAAAACAACCTGTTTGTCCGAGAAAATACCAGAGACATGCTTGGTTGCTCAAGGTTTCTCATCTCATCCATGTTTTATGGATGTATTCCTGTCGTCAATGGGTGAACCAACAAATGCTAAGGTTCCCCGGCAGCTGCTGGTGCGCTCCCATCCGTCGAAGCAATCACAGAAACCATGGTAAAAGTAGAGGATTTACACTAATGTGGGTAGATATATATAAATATATAGATAGTATTATATAGTTCATGGGGTTATAAACTAACTTATGATAATGTGGGATATAATGGCTGATAATGTGGTACTAATATTAATGACAACGATTAACCACTATTAACAATCATGAACTATCATTAATTGTGGGGATAATAGTAGTATTATCATGAGATGATGCTGGAATATCTAAGTAATGTGGGAAGACAATGTAACAAACCACCCAAAAATGGGAATGGTAACCATACCAGCTATAAACATGGTGAAATTGGGGATGGTAAACATGGCATTGTTTTGCCCAAATTAAATCCCATGAATATCTGACCACGAAATCCGTGCGGGTGTTTCGGATTGGGAAGGGATTATTATTATTATTATAATTATATATATATTATATTGTTTATATATATATATATATTATATTATATATAATATATATATATATAATATACTATATATATATATATCTTATGTTTGTTGGTTATAATCCAAACTATAGTTATATCTCCCTAATCAACCATCTTCCAAGATGATCTCCTCCAAATTGTCGATTTCTACCAAGCTTTTTTTCCCCCAGTCACGGGAAATTTGAAAAAAGCTGGCTTGGATTCACCCATTTATACTATGGTTACCCTCTGGGAAACTAAGATAGCTATTGAAAATGGTGATTTATAGTGGATTTACCCATTAAACATGGTGATTTTCCATAGTTATGTTCGTTTACCAGAGGGTATCCCTACGAATTATATATGTCAACCATAATAAACCATACCCAGATTAGCTCACCATGGTGCTGGAATATGCACACCTACATAAATACCCCAAAAATCACCCAAATTTATGTAAATATTCCAGCACCATGGAGCATCTGGGATAGTTATTGGAATGAACTAAAGCAACAAACAGCTATCCAACTGGGGCCCCTTGGGAATCTCCGCCCTCCTTGCCTCCGGCACGGCTGGCATGTCGTGGCCATACTTCACAGCACAATGGGCCATGGCAGTGGCTGCGAAGCGAAGCTGTGCTGTTCGTTTCAAGCTGAGCCAAATTGGCGGTGGAGACGCGTCAACCACTATTAGGGTTTAAATCATGAGTCGCGATCATCATGAACAGAATATGATCAGAATATGAAGAACAGTTTTCGAAACCACCAATAGTTTTCGAAACCACCAACTAGATCACAAATGAAACAGCTCCGAAACTCAAGGATGACTTGCAAGCATAGGGATATGGAGACCTCTTTTCATCCCCGTGGCTCAAAACATGATTTGCCAAGCAAAATCTATCTCCCGTCGTTCCATGGTACATGGTATACGGAGTATGTTCATCCCACCATTAATACATTCACCCCTACTAATGTGGGGATGACCATCCCCTTTTATGGGATCATAAACACGTTTTTTTTTGCAATGACACGTATGGTGAACCATGATGAACAAAATAGCTAATTGTGATTAGACATACTAGAAAAGGTCAGTCAGTTTTTGGTAGGATAGTCATGATTATTCTCCCTTTGTGCTAACAAAACGCATACCTGGACCCTCCAAAAACAAACATACCTAGACCCTCCAAATACCCCAACAAAATATCAAAAACAAGGTACAAGTACTACGGAGGGTCTAGGTATCCCAAATCCCCTGGTAGGACACCTCCAGTCGGTTGGTGCGTGGTAGCAACACATCCTCGGTGAATTTGAGGCTACCCTCAGCTATTTTAATGGAGATATTTGTGGTCATAAAGATTTGGTCATGGCCGATCTATATATATATATTATATATAGTATATCATAGCTATCTCAAATTGCCACGGAGCAGTACATTTGAAATCCGTGGAACAGTCACAACATGGCACTCCAAAAAGCGATCTGGCAGATGAGTTTTCCCTTGGAAAGCACCAGTCGGGTGTGTCCGACAATGGGGTATACCATGGCATAACCTCTGGTAAACTAACATAGCTATTGAAAATTGCCATTTATAGTGGATTTACCCATAACAAATGGTGATTTTCCAGTTCTTTACGTTAGTTTACCAGAGGGTACCCCCAAAATAGTGCTGTGACAAAATCGGAAAACAAAAAATGGTGCTAGCTTCCTGGATTAGTTATTCTTTTTCCTTCTAATTTTTCAGGTCTGAAGCCATTTGGGTTGCTTCATGATTTCAATGGGAATTTCAGGATCCTAAAAATCCTAAAATAAAGGTACTGTACCATATAAGGCTATATTTTGTGGGGATATTCCCTGAAATTTAGGCCTTACATAGGCCTTATGTATGGTAGGTACCTCTAGTTTAGGATCCTGAAATTCCCATTGATTATTAGGTTTCAAAGGTGTAAACCTCCCCGGTGGCAAAAAGGGAACTTGGGACCCATCGAAAAAAACTTGTCGTGGACTTCAAACTTGACATGGCTATGGTTCAAACCTCAAACACTGCCAAGACTTCAAGAGACCCACAATTATGGCCCAACTAACAGCTCTACTTTTATGGGACTACAACTCCTATAACTGAGATTAACTCTATCATGAAATAATCCCATAACAAATACCCTCTGGTAAACGTTTACATAACTGTGGAAAATCACCATTTTCAATGGATAAATCCACTATTTCTATGGCCATGTTCAAGTTCGCGAACTGTAACAAATTACCAGACGGTAACTGTTAGTTGGGCCATCACTGCAGAGCATCCTGGTCATCCATTCTGATCCCTATAAAAATTGCATCGATGGGAAACTCACCTCCGGAAGTCATCTGGGTACTCGACTCAACTTCTAGGATTATGTAGGAGTATTGGCTACATGACCTGCATGATCCTACATCATCCTTGATATTCAAATGCAGGATTTAAATCTCTACTTTTCGCGCCCATTTTTGCTATTCATCGAAGATCATCGAAGATCTCTGCGGGGTCAAAACCATCCGCCACTGGGAATCCTTCGAATGGATGGCCATAATCCCCAACTCAGTCGATCCAATCCAATCCATCCCTGGAAAAACACGATTGGTATCCCATATGATATACCCGTGATATATATATAAATATATATATATATATATATATCCATATCCATCATTTTTGTGGGTGAAATCATGCTAAATAAGCCAATCTTCAATGATTTTCATCTCACTTAAGACATGGATATGATTGGTGAGTTCCAATCTTTCGTCAAATGGATATACCCTCTGGTAACTACCATAGCTGTTGAAAATCACCAGTTTTAATAGGTAAACCATCTATAAATGGGCCATTTTCCATGGCTATGTTAAATAACCGGAGGGTAGGTCAAAATTGGGTACCCCAAAATTGGTTCAAACTGTGGTCCCCAAGGTCCTTAAGTCTGACCCATAGCCAATTCACTATTTCTCATGGTTAATTATTAATCTAACTAATCTTCAATGGTTAATCTAATGTATAGATTAATGTAACATATTGAACATTAGTATACATCTTCAATGGTTAATCTAACATTGGTATTAGGGTTCTTCTAACTCACGAATGTATACTAAGTATACTAGTGCTGGGTTTAGTTCCAATCTTTCATGCTTAAATCAGGTGAAATTCATCTACCTTTTGGTCAATGGCCATTTCAGGATCCTAGATTGGAGGTACCATATATAAGGCCTATTTTTCAGGCCTAAATTTCAGGGAATATCCCCAGAAAATATGGCCTTATATGGTACTAACGTACCTCCATCAATTGGCTCCTGAAATTCCCATTGATTTGAGCACAGATCTCAGATCTTCCATCCGTGGGGCCCCGATTGCCCACCACCAAAAACGCTGAGATCGTCGCGCGATACACGGGGCTACCCGGAATGGTGTCATCCCTCAGCCGGATCATCACTGGGGAGAGATTGATGGCATATGACACTAATATACAATGTGTATATCTGGTTAGTGGTGATTTAGGGTTTAATGGGATTCAAAATATAAAATAGCTGGCTTTAGTGTTGTTTAATGGATTTTAATGGAATATAATGGTTTTTAATGGGATCAATGTATAGAGATATGTATATATATATATGTATAAATACATAAGTGAGTTAGAACCCCAGTTATATATACATATATATATATAAGTGAAATGGATTACTAGTTGGTGGTTTTAACCATATTGAAAAATATTAGTCAGTTGGGATTACTATTCCCATATGCAGTATTATGAACGCATATAAAATGTTTGAAACCACCAACCAGTGTATATATGTGTATAGAACAGTGACAAAATGTCACGCTCTTTTTGGGATTTAATTACTATCATTGTTGATATCTTTTGGGTTTACTATTTGTTACATGTACAGACATGAACCTTTTCGTTCATGACAAAAAATGGATGGCCAAGTCATTGGTGTAAGGATTTTTCACCCTGGATGAAGATATGTCATCCATGATGGGAATATATTGATATCATTAATATCATTGATATCATTGATATCATTGTCATGATGGTATTATATATATATATTGATGATGGTGATTCATTGTCATTGAGATCATTGTCATGATAGGTGAATCTCAAGCCCATTTTCTGGAGTCAACATGAATTAAACTATGTTTTCAGTTGATGTGTTTGTGCTTGCCCAATCCATCATTCCTCAATGGTGAGGCTGGTCACAGCCTCTAAGCAAACGGTGACTTGCTATGACTTACTCCGCGAGGAACTCAAAAGATGCGGATGGAAGGACCTACTTGTTTCCACTTTGACTAGTGAATTCAAGGTTCATGGCTACCCTGCCAATACAAATCTGGATAGTACCCCTTGAGAATCAAACATTGCAATGGACAACTCCCGTTCATAGATGACGTTCCAAATGCCCAGCTATGGATATCCAGTAAGGAATTTCCCAATGCTATTGTTGATTACCAGAGGGTATATTCCTCCATAGTCTTACTTGTGCTAAACGTAGGGAATGAGGGAATGATCAACAATAACTATCAACAATCATCGCATTCCCCCATTCCCATCCATTCCCTACTAAGCACCAGTAAGTAGTAGTGTTCAAAACCCTTTTTGTTGTCCCTTCGCTGCGGTCGCGGGGTAAAAAACCGACCGGTGGTGCGCACGGTTCAGCAGGGGATTCGGGATTCCCCTAGTGGATTGTGATAAGTATATATATATATATGTATATATATAATAAATATTATTGTGATCTATATATATATATATTTAAATCAATATTTATTTTTATATATATATATATATAAACATTGTGATATTACCCTGGAACGAGGTGTAGGTCGCAATAAACCACCAAACTCCGTTCCGCCGTGCCGGCGAAATGGACCCCAGCTCTGGCATCTCACTGGGCGCCCCACAGACCCGGTAAGATCTCAAAGACCAAGTGCTGCTGCCCTGCAACAAAAGCCCCATATAATAATCCCAGATTTCTCCTTTTTCCCACATTTTTTTTAGTAGCTCAGAAAAAAAAATCTTTATTCTATTTTTTAATTTTGCCATTTATACTATAAATTTGGTCGGTGACTTACGTGAGATATATGGGAATATTAACATTATCTATGGCTATGGGGGATATGACCCACATAATATATGCATGTTAGTTATATATTGGGAAAACCATATATTGGGAAAAACATATTGGGAAAATATCTATAATACTATATGTATATATATATATACTGTTACTTAATATTCCCATATAGAATGTTACTTACTATTCCCTATAACATTATCTATTGGGAATATTAACTAACATTATCTACATCTATGGGGGATATGATGTTATGGATATGGGTCAAAAAGCCTGTGCCCCTTCTGCTCACCCCAGAATAGCTGAGAAATGGATGTTCATCCCTCCAAAATGTAGTACAGGATAGTAATTGATCCCCATACATCTAGGAAGGGCAATGAATTCTGGATACATTTCATCATAGTTCACCTGCAATTTTTTTAAAGTTATTTGGGGGCCCAGTTAATCCAATCTCCCATCATCTCCAGTCGGGAAATGCCGGAGCCATGGAGGTTTCGCTGGGAAAAACATCTATTCTACAAAGTGGGGCCCCCTAGATAGCTAAGTTGGTTTATAACTCCAATAACTATGGTTTATGGTACGCAAATAACTATAGTTATTGGGGCTTATAAACCAACTTATAACTAGGGGGCCCCACATTGTAACCCAGGGGATTTTCTACGACGTGTGACTGATTGTTGCCGGTGTGCGAAAAGTGAAACAGCTACTTTGGCAAAGGACATGGTTGAGCCATTCATCTAAAATGTCGAACAACTATGGATTAAATGGCGGATACCACAATTCCCAAATAATCCATGGTATTCCCAAATAAGCCATGGTATTTAACCATGATATCTATTTAAGCCATGGTATGGCGGATTATATGGCGGCTTAAATAGATATCATGGTTAAACAGACTCCTGGCAGGAAAAGGCGGCATCCAACCCACACCACCTGTGGCCGTGGCATAGTGTGCCAGATCGCCGGTCCTCGACGAGTTCAGTGAGGAAAGATGGGGATAGCCCTGGAACAATTTATATAACCCATCAAACATGGTTCAATGGTGATTTACTGATGACTTAATGGTAGGTAAATGATAATTTACATAGGTATACCAAACTGATTCCTCAATTTTCTTCAAACAGATAGCTGGTTGGTGGTTTCAACCCCTCTGAAAAATATGAAAGTCAGTTGGGATGATTCTTCCCGATATATGGAAAAATGAAATTCATGTTCCAAACCACCAACCAGTATATAAAATGGAACTCAGAAACATGGGGATTTACTGCGACTTTCATATCTATCCAATAAAATCCAATATACATTTGGAAACATATGGGGATATAATAGGGATGCAATGGGGATGTCATGGGATATAATGAGATACAAAGGGGATATAATGGGATATAGTAACCACCAAAACGATGCCGAAAAACAATTCATTTGTTATGACCAATCACTATACGTTTTTTTTTCTAGGCAACTCATCTAACTAAATGGGCCATGGCTTAGCTGTTAGGTTTTGCGAAGGGTACAATGGGATAATGGGATATGGAAAAACAAACAGGAGATAGAACCAACCAATATCGAACTGATGCGGATTTAATAAAATTCCATGAGAATACTATATGCACCACACACATAATGGAATCTATCACCAACAAATAAGATACTTGGGTCTATAGTCTGTCCAAAAATGGTGGGTTAACATGGATTAATCATATAAGTATGGGAGAAGTTAACCATCAAAAAAAAAGAAAACTAGCGAAGGGAACACCTGTTGATCCGAAATGGGTACCGAACATGTTCATCAATCATTTCGGTATGGGACACGCGGTGGGCAAAACCATTAGATTTGGGGGGCATCGCTTATCCATAGTTTTCAATGATATGAGGTAAACTAAGTGCCTACAAAGTGGGTCCCCCTACATGAACAACTTGCTGTACAAATAGGCTTACGGGGGTTTCTGATGGCATATCTGTAAATTGAATCAATTCGATGGCTTACCAACCAACTTACACCTCCGGGAGGGCACTGCATCTTCTTTTAACACATTGACAGTTATATTAAGGGCTTCAGTTTTCTCAATTGCAAATTTCGCTGACTTCGGGAGACTGACATGAGGACACTCAGATGCTGCCTGCAACGTGTCCAAGAAGCTCGTCATACCCCAGCATTGATTTCCAGGACACATGTGGATGAAACTCTAGTGAAACCACCCCAGGGAAGGTACTCCTATGGTTGCAGCATAAGGAATCACACGGAATAACTAGACATCAAAACTGGTTTGCATGTGTGACAAAGAAACATCATTCCAGAGTCGTTCTTGTTAACCTCAGGTCTTTTTTTTTCAGAACATGCTGAAGAGCAACCATTGGTTGCCTTTCTGACCTTGTGTTGGTCCGACAAAGGTTTTATATTGGGCTAGAGGATGTTTTTGCAAAGTATGTCTATGTATTCATTGTTCACCAGAAGCCAAGAATCCACTTAGTGGCATACACAATATTATTCCATGAAATGTAAAATGGCTCATGGCAAATATTATTCGATCACCAAAAACATAGTACATAGCCCCCCCAAAAAAACTATTAAATCGACCATCTCATAACGAGTTGGTTATAAATCCCATGAGTACCCAATTTAGTTGAATTCCACTAATGTCCCATTAATATCCTATTGATATCCCATCTGAAGATTTTCATGAATCCTATAAATCCATTGAATCCCCATTAAATCCCCATCTAAATCCCATTAAAGTACCCATGAAATCCCATTAAACCACCATTAAATCCCATTAAATCACCATAAATCCAGGGAGTTCATCAATAAATCACAATTAAATCCCATTAAATCACCATGAATCGTTGCGTATTTTTGATGCGGTCACTGAGGCACCAAACACAAAGGCAATGGCAACAGGTCCACCAGGATTGCCACGCTCCGGCGTTTCATCCTCGAATTCAGCCAGGATAAAAATAGCTTTCGTTGACGATACGGAGACATTGGGCTTTCCTAAAAACCTTGCCTGGTGATATGTATATATATATATATGTATATGTATATATATATATAAATATCTATATATGTATAATATATATGTATATGTAAATATAACAACTATTGCTTTAACATGTACATATTGAATATATAAGCTATGGCTTCGCAAACGAAATCTAATATAACATATATGAACCGGGCCTTCCATCCCAGTGGTCGTGATGGATGTAACCCATATGAGCAGTGGCTGCTAAACCCCGGTTGCGAAGTATCATTGGAGATAAGAAGAATTACATCTAATTACCGTTAATGACCAATAAAAGAATGGGGAAGTATATATTACATCTAATTACCGTTAATTACCCCCAAAAAAAGGAAAGAATCGGATTATCATAATCCATGAATTGGGAAGCCTTATGAACCACACAATATAAAGGGAGGACTGAGGGTTGGCCCATCCCCCAACTCATCCGCAGAATTGTTGCCAATAACTCCCAAATCACGAAAAATCGAAGATACCCTGCAAAAACTCACTGAAAGGTACATATGTAGACGTAGATATACATACATGTGTTTACATATGTATATATGTATATGTACATATATATATACTGGTTGGTGGTTTAGACCATCTTGAAAAATATGAAAGCCAATGGGAAGGATGACATCCCATATATGAAATGGAAAATAAAAGTCATGTTTGAAACCACCAACCGTTGTATACAGTATATATATAATAATTATATAATATATACATATTGCACATGTATATTCTATACGTATATCTTCCCATTGATGAGAGGCAAGACATTGGTTGAAGCTTCCCGTCTTGGTATTTCTCGTCCAGGGACCGGCATCACTGTCGTGAGTCCAAGGTATGCTTGGGGCATGGCATTCCTGGCAGAGCCATCCTATCTGTTGGAGTTCTGTTGTAAAAAAAACAAAAACAGATGGGACACTGAAAAACTTTGGCAAAGTCATCGACTTCACTATTTTTGGTTGATTTTCACTTTTTCTCCTATTTTTGTTGTGGAATATAGATGCGTACTGACTGAAACAAACATATTTTGATCGTGATAGTCATTATTATTGACCACCTGCTGTTATAGTAATTATTTGGATGGCAAACATGATGACAATTGTCGTTTTCAACATACAGATACCTGTGGTGTAAAGACCATCGATGTTATTGCAGGAAATGAACATTGACGATGATTAGAAACTACCGTTTTAGATTGTCTGTGATTTACACTTATAGTTATAACATGTTATAAATTGTATTAAAACTCCTGAAATTGGTTGGCTATATATATATATATGTATACTTATATATACATATATATGTATACTTATATATACATATATATATACATATACTTATATATATATATCACAGTCACTATCACTTAAATGAGGTTGCTTGAGCTAGTTTTCTCTGTCATATCCTGCTCCTCGTATTCAAAGCTCAGTAATTACATTTTACTCACCCAGAACAGTTTTGAACAAATGGGCAGATTAAAGCCTACCGATATTGCATTATACACATATTCATATATCATCTTATACCTATATACGAGTATATAACAATATAATATATTATAATACAATATAGTACAATAAATTACAATATAACAAAATAGAATACAATATAATACAATATATAACAATAACGCTAATAGCAACGATAAACATATATAATATGTCCATGAAACTAAAAAACACAGTGGTAAAGTCCCACTCAAACCAGCCAGCATCACGGGCGCTTCACTGTGATCTGCCCGGCCTGACGAGAACGCCCCACTTGGAAGGCTGAAACATGGCGAAACTTGCTGCTATATCATGGGAACATCATCGATACATGGGGATATGTATATATTTAATATAAATATAGATATAGAACTATATATATATTATATTAGTATATATATATTATACTCATATATATATATATTATATTCATATATATATATATATTATATTCATATATATATATATATGAATATACAGTGAGGATATTATACGGCAACACCCCAGAAAGATGTCGAAAAGTGTGCCACCAGGATGGTGACATTTCAAGCGCTCGAATGAAGTGTTTCAAGCGCAACACTGCCTGGCAACTTGCACAGTACCTTCATGTTGAAACAGGTTTGTCTGAAGATAGAGTACCCCTAAAATCCAATGCTTAATCATCATTCACCCATTATCAATCATCATTCATCATTCATCGTTCATCATTCATTCATTCATTCATTCATTCCTTCCTTCATTCATTCAATCAATTCATTCAATTCATTCAATTCATTCATTCATCATCATTAAACATCATTGAACATCATTAAACATCATGAATCCTCATTGTCCCTATTCATTTTGCCCTTCTTGGGTGTCAAAAACCTCCGTTCTTCGCAACGCATCGCGACTCGCGACCTGTCCCACATAGCTCTGGTAGTCCGTATCCGCGAGCCCGCATTCGCTGCACCTGGGTCCACGGACTGGCGATGGTAATAACGATGGTTTATGGTAGATATATAAGGAGCTAGTATTCATGGGCTGAAACTAAACCAACATTCACATCACTGGGGGGGATATAACTATATATATACACGGTATATAGATAAAGTATTCCCATATTTCCCATAGATTTTCCATAGATTCCCCATGTTGATGGGGTTATTTCAACCAACATTCACATCACGGAAATGAGGGCACCATCCATCGTATCGATGGTGGATGTTCAAAGAGCCGGCAGCTGGGTACCAGAAGGTATCGCTACAAGGTGGTGCCCCAGTTCGTTAGCTAACTTGGTGCCAATAAGTCCAATAACTGTTGGGTTGATTAGGAGGTTATATCTATAGTATTCATGGGGATTATAAACCAACTTATAGAAGGTATCGCTTCGCTATCTTCCAAAACTCAGTCTTGATCTATGACCAAATCCATGAAGGTCCTGATCTATGTCCATATGATTCGCGCTGTTTTCATCGAATCGAATCCCACTCGTCTTTCGTCAAAGGGGTCACCTGTGCCATCCTGGAGAGATATCTGGGGTCTGGACCAGCTGGAATGACATCATATCAAGCCAGTTAAGACCCAGACTAGAGGCAAATCCCTGCCTGTTTTCCTACGTCTCACTCATATTCTCACTCATATTTCAGGATACTGTTTTTTTTTTTTTATGTTGTCAAAAGACTCCAAGCACATCTCAAACAAAAGAAACATGTGAACACATGTGACCTCTCATAAATGATGAGAAATATCAAGAAAACTGAACTATTCTGAATTTCACAAAAAAAAACAGCTCCATAAATATCCAATTTCCATAGAGTTTTCCTCCAGCCCGTCCCCTTTTCTGTCATGGCCACGGCGTTGCGAAAAATCTCCAGGTGGCCCCGACCAGCAGACGATATAGCCACGTCCCTCCGGCGATTCCGCGCCATCCTGGACCTGGAGGATTGATAAAAACCATCTAGATGACAATCCTATGGCTATGGTTATCTATCTATCTATCTACCTATCTACCTATCTATCTATCTATTTATCTATTTATCTATTTATCTATCTATTTATCTATCTATCTATCTATCTATTTATCTATTTATCTATCTATCTACCTATCTACCTATCTACCTATCTATCAATCTATCTATCAATCTATCAATCTATCAATCAATCAATCAATCAATCTATCTATCTAAAGGTTTATATATATATATATATAAGTTAAATCTGTACAGTTACATATATATATATATAGTTAAATGACTATGGCTACTTTTTATGCTATATTCATATGATGGTATCTAATTAGATTAGCTAGATAAATGATGTTGATTTCAGGCAACATATTGACCGGAATTGTCATGGTTTGATCTGCGAATATTGGGCTTTTAAGTCTGTTTGACATCAAAGACCGGTTGCTCAAAAGGTATATGGTATCCCAACAGGAAGGGCCCCTTTTCGTTGGCAGGTTTCTGTTGCTTCGTTCCATGGTACTTAGAGGATCATCCAGCTGGAAAATCCTCCAAAAAATGAATGATCTGATGGCTGGGGGTACCCCCATGACGAAACGGAAACCTCCACTTGTTGGTGCTTGAATCGTTTATCCCATATATATATATACACATAAGCGAGTTAGAACCCCAGTTGTATATATATATATATATAAGTGAAATGGATTGCCAACCAGCAACGACTGGGATGACTCTCCAAGTACCAACATCCCGGGGGGGTTTTGGGCCCTGGTCTTGAGCAGTTCACACGCCAGTCACAGGTGAGATCTCACCATATCTCAACCGGTCATCGCTATTTTCTGGTTGGTGGTATACCTACCCCTCTGAAAAATATGAGTTCGCCAGTTGGGATTATGAATTTCCCAAGAGTATAAATAGAGATATGGTTACACCTTTTAGCCTTTTAGATCTCAATCATCTCAACCATCTCAACTATCTCAACCATAAATCATCGCTATTTTTGCTGGCTGATTTTGATGACCAAAATGGTGATGTAACCAACAAAAACTTATGGGATTTAAAGGAATTTATTTTTTTTTGATTTATGGGAACATAACAAAATAATGCGTACACAGTGGGGGCCGCATAGTCAGCTAAATTGATTTAGTTCACCAAAAAAGAATAACTGTTGGCTTTGTTTTTGGGATATATCGAGCTAATTAGATGGTGAAACATACACCAACAAACAGTTATAAGTTGGTTTATAGTAGATATATCCCATTACATTATCATAAACCCTAGTTATTGTAGTGATAAACCAACACATATATATCTTGGAGGCCCCACTTTGTGGGTATATTCTTCATAGCTCATTGTGGTTGGGTTGCCGTCTTGGAACGAGGCCTCAAATATCCTGGGTTTCAACGCGCCCATGATGGTCACAGCAAGCTCCATTTTTATTATATAGGTCTTTGAATTGTCATGATTGATGACACGAGTAAACATTATTAAACATGCATTTTGCTTCTCTGGTTCTATCAAATCATATCCCAATGCCAGATAACATTGATGTTCCATGATATTCCCGTTCGAGTTCCATTCATATCCCATTAATCCCTATAAATCCATCAATCACCAATAAATATCTATATAGTTCATCCCTGTTCCCCTCCGTTCATTATTCAAAAAACCGCGTTGTTGACGCATGAACGACGCGTGAAGTCGCGCGCCTTGATGTTGCGAAAGGTCTCTTTGGAGGTTTGTGACCACCTTGGATCCCCATCGAGGTCTGATGGCTGGATTGATGGCTGGATTAATAAACCCCGTTTACGGCTGTTGAATTGGGAACATACCCCAAAAAAGTATCTGGTTGGTGGTATACCTACCCCTCTGAAAAATGATGGAGTTCGTCAGTTGGGATGATGACATTCCCAATATATGTAAAGTCATAAGATTCATGTTCCAAAGCACCAAAAAAGTATCAGTGATCATGACGAAATGACGGGGGAATAGTCCCCTCATCCCACGGCAAAATGGGTGAGTTCACCCCAGTGATTTACCTGGGATAATCCACTGGGGTGAACTAAGCCACTAATACGTTACAGGGGCCCCCAAGCTCGCGTTCTAAGTTGCCTTACCAAGTGGCTGAATTAACTATGGTTTATGATAGATATAACGAACTAGTATTCATGGGCTGAAACTAAACCAACATTCGCATCACGTTTGGGAGCTCCATCCTGGAGAATCATGTAGGCCTTTGAGTACCCGGTACCGGTACCCCATAATTTTTTATGCCCTATATGGATGTGGATCTTCACCGCTAGTCATGTGGTAATTAAGGGTTTTGATAGGTATACTGGGTTATATAATGTTATATATTAGGTATATAGCGAGGATTGACTATTGCTGGATTACACCAGCATTTTTTTTAAATACCTGCTAATCACCAGTGAGGATACACCAGTAAAAGAACTAAACTAATCATAGTTGCTGGATTGCATTCCCAATTCAAATAATCAGGTAGTATCAACATGGGGTGTAACTTGAACGTTGCATCTTTAAGCCAGAAAACCTAGTGGTTGTCAATGACACGGGAATCATTTGAGCATTTGAGTAGCTTAGCAGATCCTCACATTTTGGGAAGACGCCTTCTGGAAGGACCCTGCAGTGCCAATAAAGCAGCTGGAAATCGCCAAGCTATTCATAGGCATGATATGTATGGAAAATCATCTGGTAAAAGGCATATTTTCAGCTATATTTGATGACACCGGATTACCATTACCCTCCGGTGTCATCAAACATGGCAACGGAAAATCCATCAAGTATAGATGATTTTCTCATTAACAGCTCCATTTATAGAGGATTTTCATGGATCTTCCACTACCACATTAGATTCCCAGAGATTTTTTTGCCAGAAACTAAAATATTATCTGGTTGGTGGTTTCAACCCCTCTGAAAAATATGAAAGAAGTCAGTTGGGAGTATTATTCCCAATATATGGAAAATTAAATTTAATGTTCCAAACCACCAAACAGCTAAAACATTATACAATCATCAACCAGGTTTTGGCACAAGGTGGTGCCCCCCCAGTTGTAAGTTGGTTTATAATCCCCATTAACTATAGATATAACCTCCATAAACCCTAGTTATTGGACTTATAAACCAACTTAGCTAACTATGGGGCACCACCTTGCAGTTCCCAAAGTGACCTGACCAGTTCAACTGGTCTCATCCCTTTCGTTCTCCGTGCGTTCTGAAACCATGCCTTCTCCCAAAAAAAACTACTGGGACGACCGGGAAAGTGACAGGGGAATTCTATTTTTATGGTGGCTTTTCAAAGGAAAACCGTAGGAAAAACCATAGGAAAATGGTGATTTAATGAGGGTTTATGGTAGTTTAATGGAATTTAATGGGATTTACCCTCTGGTAAACTAACAGTTTACTATGACAAAATCACAATTTTGAATGGGAAAACTCAGTATCAATGGCCATGTTCAACAGATATCTGGAAAATTACCAGAGCGTAAATCCTATGCCTGTGCCTTACGAGTGGAATACATTCTGATTAATTACCCTGTTTGTGTACCAATTGACTGAGAGTCTGTACTTGAAAATAAGGTTCCCCATTCCATCGCATCATTTAATACATCGTTTTCTTCATTAACATGTTCTTTTTTGGGGCATCCACCATTTTCATACAAACCCATGCGCCGAGAGCTACTTAGCTACCAAGGATCATGCCAGGAGGCAGGTTCCTCTGAAATGTACGTAATCAATGTAAATCACAGTTGAACATGAACAGTGACTACTAACTCGAGTTCATGGAGCCGGAGATTTCTCTGCTTTGGGACATCGACAGAGATCAACAAATTTGGTGAACAATAACCCATATGCTCCATGGTGCTGGAATATTTACCAACATCTGCCCCAAAAATCACCCAGTTTTGTAGGTAAATATACCATACATGAATATACATGGAGCATATGGGATAACCCATCAAATCAGATTCCGGCCCCTTTTAAAGCCATCTATTTTTCAAGTGTCGAAGCTGCGGCCATCATCCCCGACCCCGTCATATCAGCCACCCAACAAAGCCATTCCGCGGCGTTGTTACCCCTCCGGGTCCCCGGGCGTGACACTGGGAATGTTGGGAATGGCCGGAAATTCGGCGGCAGCGAAGCGCACGGGGATCAAGATTTTCCAACCTCGGTTTTGCGACACTGGCACTGGGAACCCATTACTGCGAGGATGAAGCCTATTCTCATAGTATATCAGCATCATTCAACACCCAAAAAAGAGCCGAAAAGTGTCAAACCAGGATGGTATAATATGTTATATATCCCAGATGCTTGGTGCTGGTATATAAAAACCGACAAAACATTACAAAACTGGGTCATTTTGGGGGCAAATGTTGGTTTTTATATTCCAGCACCATGGAGCATATGGGTCTTGGGGGTTGCCGGAGTTACTGGTTTCAAAGGATCGTCCGTGAAACGCATAGCTATTTTTGGTGACGCTGATCGGAAGTCCCCGACTACTTATCATATATCATTATATAACATATCGGAAAAGATCGGGAAACAATAGGGTGACCGAACTTTAACCAGTTCAGTCACCATTTCTGGGATGATCTTCCAAGAATTCATCTTTTTTGCATCTCCTTCAACCCTTCAACTTGACGGATCATTCCAGCAAAGTCATTCCAACCGAGAAACATCAACGGTGAGACCCCTTGATCATCCAATCCCCCTAGGAACCACATATTTGGGACCACTTGGCGTTTGATTTTAGGGGGATAGGATTACACAGGGGAACATAACTCAACATCGTAAAATCTGCAGCCGATGCAAAAAGAGAAACTATCATAAACTATGTGCAAAACTCGTCAATGACATTCCATACCCATATGCTCCATGTATGGAATATTGACCTACATTTACCCCATTTTTATAGCCCAGTTTTGTAGGCAAATATTCCAGCACCATGGTTCGCATATGGGATATAAAGGTTTTGTTTTGGATACGTTCTTTTCGGAGACACCTGATCCTTCAATCATCTGCACAGCTTCTCAGGATCCTGCAACAAGGTGGTTTCTCAAAATCAAAGACGGCTATGGGTCAAAGACGGGTCGCCGAACATCAAAAAATTCTTCCCCGTGGACATTTTACTATGGGTGTATATATATATATATTTACATATATATCCAAATAATGTGGCTTAACAATGCTTTTCATAGTCCCCATTGAACCAGGTAGATATAATCCCCTATAACAACCTATGAACAATCTGGGTCAATGATCATATTTCACTAACCACCTGCGGGCAATTATGGGGACGCTTCCTCATTCACCATGATTCCAGGGGTCACGACTTGGGGTCACAACATCATTTGCGATGAACTGGTTTAGATTCCATAGATCCCCATAATGACTATATTCCAACCATTGTACTCAAGATAAAAAGTATATCTGGTTGGTGGTTTCAACCCCTCTAAAAAATATGAGTATGATTATTCCCAATATATGGAAACATAAATTTCATGTTCCAAACCACCAACCAGTAGACGTATATTCTTATAATTTCCCATGTGTAGTCCTGTTATATTGGCAGTCCAACTATTTACCAGTAAAATATAAACCGTGGACCGGACAGGAAGTGGCATCATCATCGCAGGAGACAAAGACCTGGCAGTTCAACTGGTTGAATCGGCATAAAAGTGATCAAAAGCATGGCTCAAAATCCCCCTATTTTTCATGGTGAAAAACCATGTTAAACCCATTAAAGCACAATGTTTCATGGTAACACGATGTTTCATGGTAAAACCACCATTAAACATCACCATGTTTCATGCTTAACGCCAACTCCACATGTTTCATGGTTGAATCCAGTTCTACGTCGCCTCATGGACCGTGTTGAACATCTCGGCACGCTTCACTGCCTCGCTGGGTGAACCGTTCCGTTCCGGAGAGCTGGCTGTGTGAACAGTTCACCAAACAAGAAGTGTTGGGTTGATTCGGGGTATATATATATATATGTATATATATATATGTATATATATATATATATGTATATATATATATATACATACACATACACATGTATATAATGTGTTAGATATGGGTCAAATTCACTAACGTTATCTATTGATATCTATTGGGGATATTAAATAACATTATCTATATCTATGGGTGATATGATGTTGTGGATATGGGTCCAAACCCTGTACCCCTGTAGTTCACACCAAAATAGTAGGTAAATGCATGTTCATCCCCCCTATAAATGGTTGTTTACAGGTATTGATCCATAGCCATGTCGAACTAGTTAGATGGGGCTATAAACCAACAAACATAACAGAACCGGGAGGCCGCTTCCTGTGGGTTACAGGAATCAAAACACAAAACGATCCACGGGTCTAGGCTCAAGTTCTGGCTGAGTGCAATGAGGCTATGGTCAATTGGAATTTCATGATCCTAAAATGGAGGTACGTTAGTACCATATAAAACAATATTTTGTGGCGATATTCCCTGAAATTTAGGCCTGAAAAATAGGCCTTATAGATGGTAGGTACCTCCAATCAATCGGTTCCTGTTGCATGGCCATTGATATGGGACAAGATGACGGATACCCCAATAATATAGTTTGATACCCACATTGTCTCTGTGGCAAGTGGTTTCCTCAAACAATGAATATTTTGTCAGTTGCTTCTTGGCTAATCTGAGAGAACTACTCACATGAATGTGGTAATCTCAATAGTTCTAATCTCAATGCAGTTTAGCGGTGATTGTTCATAACATGCTCCAATATCGGGAGATGTTTCTTTCCCAGCGACAAAAAACCCTATTTAGTTCGGAAATTTCCCAGCCAGCCTGGCTGGCTATAAACGCCATTTCTCCACAGAACCTTCACCCCATGAAATACTGTTTGGTCGACACGTATCCCCAAATCATTGGGCTATTTTCGAATTCTCAATAGGCCACTTAATCAGGATTTCTTCCCAAAATGACAAAATCCTACAAATTTTCTGGACGTTTCTATCCCAATTTTCGTTAAAAAACTTCTGGAGAAAATTGGTGGTTGAATCCCCATAACGGCAGAAACAAATGCTGCCCATGATGAATCTTTTTTATACCTGCCAAAAAATCTAGTTTTCCTAGTTTTCAGCTGGTAAATGTACATTTTACATCATTTTACCGTTGAAACAAACGATTCAATGATGAAGTTGTACAAGCTCGTATCTAAGAAAACATGATCATCATATTAACCAATGATATTCCGTATTCAGCATGGCATTCCCATGGTTGACCCAGCTTGACCCCGGGTCCCCACACCAACGCCAGCGCAGCTTGGGTGGTGTCTGCAGGATCTGGATTGACTCCTGTGGGATGATCTTGTGGATATTCTTACGGATGCGGATATAAAAAATGATATGGATCATCATTGATGGTTGGTGGTTGATGCTTGAAAATTGATGGTTGATGGTTGATGATTGATGGTTGGTGCTTGGTGCTTGGTAATTGATGGTTGATGGTTGGTGGTTGGTGGTTGATGCTTGAAAATTGATGGTTGATGGTTGATGATTGATGGTTGGTGCTTGGTGCTTGGTAATTGATGGTTGATGGTTGATGGTTGGTGGTTGATGCTTGAAAATTGATGGTTGATGGTTGATGATTGATGGTTGGTGCTTGGTGCTTGGTAATTGATGGTTGATGGTTGATGGTTGGTGGTTGATGCTTGAAAATTGATGGTTGATGGTTGATGATTGATGGTTGGTGCTTGGTGCTTGGTAATTGATGGTTGATGGTTGGTGGTTGGTGGTTGATGGTTGATGGTTGGTGGTTGCTGAATGATGACTGATGGTTGGTGGCTGGTGCTTGGTAATTGATGGTTGGTGGTTGGTGGTTGATGCTTGAAAATTGATGGTTGATGGTTGATGATTGATGGTTGGTGCTTGGTGCTTGGTAATTGATGGTTGATGGTTGGTGGTTGGTGGTTGATGCTTGAAAATTGATGGTTGATGGTTGATGGTTGATGGTTGGTGCTTGGTGCTTGG